TAAATGTTCTGCCTGTTTGCCCAATGTATTTCAATGGGCAATCTACACATTTCATTTGGTATATGCCACTTTTATTGTATTTATCTAATTGTGGTTTTTGTTTGAGTATATTTTCTATTGTGTTTCGTGTGCGGAATGCTACTTATATCTGTGTGCCTTTGAAAAGTTTTGTAACTTTTCTCACTTCTTTTGTACTATATGTAAATGTGGCCCACTTTGTTTTATGTTGTTCGTCATCATGTATGTTTCATATTTGTTTTCGTGTTGTCTGATTTAATCTTTTGATTATGTTTGTGCTGTATCCGTTGTTATGTAGTATGTTTTTAATAGTGTTCTTCTCTATTTGTTTTCCTTTTTCTGTTATTGGGTATGTGTACAGTCTATTTATGAGGTAATTAATAGCTGACAATTTGAGCTCGAATGGATGGCACGAACTGTTAGGTATAATGATGTCTGTTTGTGTGGGTCTCCTATATATTGCGAATGAAATAAAATTTCTATACAAAAAGAAACAACAATTAAACACACAACTCTATCACATTCACATACACAATGCAAACACATGGCAATGAACATGGAATAACATCGAACAATCAATAGAAGAAAAGTTACACGAAAATATAGAAAAAACATATCTAAAACAACAAAAAATAAACAATATGAACAAAACACAAAATATAGATATAACAAGCAAAAACATACAATACACGAGAGTAGCAAATGAAAGAAATATACAATTTACACACGAAGAAACCCAGTTACTGAGTAAAGGCCTTAAATATAATCTGCATCATAAGAATAAAAAATGGATTGAGACATTAGCCCTAGAAGCTGAAACAGCAGTAAATAACCTAGAAATAACAGAACAAAGTTATTATAGACATCTAATTGCGAAGAAACTAAAAGATATACACAAGAATAATGAAAGGAATTAAACCAATAAAGATAAGAAAGATAAAAGGGAATGGAAACAAATAATGAATCTAAAAAATAAAATTGAAGAAAATAAACTTATTATAACGAAAGCAGAAAAAGGAAAAACACTAGTAATACTAACACAAGACAAATATAAACAGAAAATAAATAACTTCATACACAATAATCAATTCATAAAAATTGACAAAAATCCGACCCAACAATACCAAAGGGCAGTAAAACAAACACTGAAACAATGTGATAACATCATACAAGACAAATGGAAATTTACAAATATGAACCCCACGGCCCCAAACCTACACGCCACAATAAAACTACACAAACCTAACACACCCATTAGACCAATAATAGACTGGAAGGACGCCCCAGCTTACGAAATGACAAGAAAATTAGTGAAAGTACTGCATGATTATCTGGAACTGCCAAACGCATACACTGTCAAAAACTCCTCCCACCTAATGATAGATTTACAAGCTATTAAACTTAACAAAAACATGCGAATATATTCCTTTGACATTGAAAACATGTGTGGGATGTCGTATGAATGAAGAGACAACCACTAGTTGAACTGTCCTATAGGATTTATTGCAGCTGCACAGTATACACAGACGGATAACAACAGTGAACTGCTCGAACACTGAACTGGTATTGAAGAACGGTAGAACTAGACTGTAGACTGTCACTGTAAGTCAGTGTATCTTCTTATGTAGCCTGGAGTCGGACATATGGAAAACGGTTACGTAATAGGTGCTGCTATTGCCGGTTACTGTGTTTATAAGTTCCCTAGCAACCGCTGTTTACTTGCTTCTGCCTAGCAACCGTTGTTTACTCGTTGTTGCTAAGCAATGACACTTGCGTTGTCACACTTGCTTGAATGTGGGCAGTTCCCACACATGTATACAAATATACCAAAAACTAACACCCTAAATATAATAAACACTATATTGGAAAAAAACCATGAAATAAATAAAGAAAGCCACAAAGAAATAATACACATGTTAAAAACAGTGTTTGAACAAAATTATTTCCAAATTGACGAAGAATACTACAAACAAACAGATGGACTAGCTATGGGAGCCCCAACATCAGCTATAATAGCAGAAACATATATACAATATATGGAACACACATAAATATATCCCATTCTAGTAAAACAACAAATAGTGGCCTACTTCAGACATGTCGATGATATATTAATAATATA